AACCAATGGTTGAAATCCATTATTCTTTTGTAAGTCTATGAGTCAATTCGAAGGTAAACAAATACGGCAATCAACAAGATCTAAAATAAAAAAGAGTATAATGTAACATAAATAAGGAACCTATGTTAATAATAAATTAAAATTAGAGATATTAATCACAGTATACAGTTACTAAGCTCCTACTACACGATTGATGGCATTCACATCGCATAGCGTTCTTTCTAGGCTTGACTAAGAAAGAGATCAGGAACAATTCGATTCCGAAAAGGAAGGTGTGGTTCTTTGACCTGCTCGAAAATCGGATAATCTTTTTGCTGAAGATAATGAGGTTCCATGAGAACAGGATGCCGACAAAAATAATGCCATTAGAAAGGTGCGGTCATGATGCGCCTGGAAAAAAAAGGCGCAAGTTAAAGAGCGCGAGCAATAGAGGCGCTTGTCAGAGAGATGAATCCCATGAAATTCTTCGTAATAGTTGATTTTTAATTCAATCATGACTCACTGCCAAATGGCCGATGTGGTGATATTCAAAATAAAACAAGTTCCATTACTAAGGAAGACAACACTTGAAAGATTCTTCATCTGATTAGAATCTTTTGAAACCTTTTTCAAGAAAACTGAATCGGCCCTCCATTGGGATCATCAGAAATTCAACATTCAACAAGGGTATCGTATTCTTAAAATAGTGTAAGCGGAGAGAGGCCCAGAGTCATTTCATGCATGCTTGTCAGAGCTCAACCTGATCATGGTCAAAGGTGCCCTTTCCTGGTCCTGATTGGAGCGGTTGCGTTCATGCAGTTTTGTCCCGAAAAGAGTATCCCAACCTGGACTAAAAATATCGTGTATGCTTTCCCTTTTTTTTAGATTGAAATTTGCCTCCAACATTGGACTTCGCTCCCACTCCGGTAGAGATAGCTCAATAGATCGGCGAGTGATCATTGCGATGTGCTCTTACGCAGCGTCTCTGGTTGAGGAATTGTTGCGAACAATTAATTTGGTTTTCAAAACCACCTTCCCCAAATTAACGGGGACATTTCAGCAGTTTTTAGCTAGCATTCTGGTCAATCAAAACTCCCACGATTGCTTCCATTCACACGATGAGTGAATCTCAGTGCCACTCACATTACCGAAATGCCCGAAATTTGAAAAGGTCGAACATTCATTAGGACGAAGGAAAGTTCAACAGTATGAGGATACCGAATGATGAGGTGATGATCACTTATGAGCTTATCGTCCGTTTCATTTTCAAATTTCATCTGTTATTCAGTCGTCATTCGAGTTCTGGTCGCATACGTCATTGAGCCACACCAGAGATTGCTTGATGCATACACGCTCAGTTGCAAATTATAGGCTACATCCTCCAAAAAATAATAAACAGATCGCTTTCTTCTACGACTCAAAATGTTCTCCAATCGTTGTTGACGCTGCCTTTCCGTGTTTTTCCTTTTGGTTTTAAAGGTTATGTCAAGCGATGAGTTTTCCATTTCCTGTTTTGTTGTTTCGTGACTTGTGTTCACTTATAAAACGATGACAAGCTTTCTTTTTTCTTTATTGAGAGCATCCGAACACCACAGGAACTATGATAGCATAAGGTTTATGAGAATTATGGCATCGGAGACATGCAGGTGACTGAATGCCAAGGACACGGAGTGTACGTAATATCCCCCGTTTTCATCTGTCCAGACGCCTTGAGCCACTTACGTGCTTCCACACAAACGGCCATCTCTTTGGAGTTCACACTTTCGGTGTTTTGAAAAAACTCAGGCTAGATTCAGTTTTCTCTTCTTTCGGCCATCTATGTTTCGATGCTGTGATACGGACTCGTGAATCTTCTATCCCTACGCTCCAAGCTCTGCGTTTCATTCCTTTTCGCCTGTTTTGAAAGAAGCCTCATGACACATAGGGTCAGGCTAGGCCCAGCCCCTACAGGCGGGAGGAAGGTAATTTAAATATTGAGTTGGAAAGAAAGTCTTGCAACACTTTCTAAAACTATTTATAAAAATTTTCAAAGGAATGATGGGCGGGGCTTTGCATTTGTATATGTTGGAATGTTCTCGAAGCTTCTGCCCTCGGGGTATATAAGCGTCGTCTACGCTGCTCGACTTCAGAAGTTGGCTGGCGTCATTAGGTCATTACATTGTAGACTGAAATTGCATTTCAATAAAGTTATAAAATTTTGAAAAATTTGTGCAAAGTGTTGCAAGACTTTCTTTCCAACTCAATAAGTTTCAAATTTAAAATTGACCATCATTTGACAGTGCCAGTACTGCGAGAATGAGGAATACAACCTTTTTGTTGTAATACACACGTTTATTGATCGATGCACATACAATAATACTGCAAGAAATTCACACCAATCTTGGGATATTCAGTAAAAAATGAGAAAATCAAGAGAAACCATAAATCACAAAGTATCACAACTGAACGGAAGCATCATGAACATATCATTCTTTGATCACCTCGGCCTACATAAATACTTCTACATTCATATAGCATAACTCATTCAGTATTTCTTCTGTCACTTTTCTTTACGTTATGACACCAGCAATAGTAACATGTTTAAATAATTTAAGGGAGGGGTTCTTTGCACTCTTCTGCAGCAAGCTTCGATTATTGATTCGAATTACTGTATCAACGTATCAACAAACTTCCTAACCTTTATCTGGCTTCCTTTTTGATTAAATTTCTTAGAATGAACTCACTTGAAAAAGCTAACAATTAATACTTTTTGAAAGTGGAGAGAAAATCTCTGCAATATATTAAATATGAACACAACCTAGAAGGCAGTAGTCCCAAGAGAAAAACAGTCTGCCATATTCATGTTCCCAATTCACAAATTTAAGTTCTGCTGCCTCCTCCTGCCTCCAATTTCATAATTAAAAAAAAGGGACTGATGCAGTCACAGAAATTGAAAATGAAATTCCCCTATCTTGACTCTCTCACAGCCAAGAGAGGCTTCAAAATTTGTGTGCATTACCTGCTTCTGTGATGCACAGATTTTGGAAGATGCATAGGCTCTGAGTATGGTGAAGAATCTCATTTTCAAAAGAAACCAGATAAAATTCCCAGTACAAAGACTAAACTAAAAAATATATAAGTTCAAAAAAACTTATTATCATTACAGGCATTAGGCATATTTAAATAAATTCCAAGTGCCTAAATTAAGAAGTTTTTACAAAATTACAGACACACATGATACATTTCAGCAATCAGGTATGAATGTGATCAATAACTTACTATATGTAACTCACTTTTTTCAATTCTGTCTTTGGCGTTGCATTTGTCTTTCTTCAACATCAAAGTCTCCAATGCTTACAGCTGCCTCATATCCTTGTAGCAGTGCCAGGATTGATTTGAAGACAGCAACAGGAAATGTGAGGGTTGCAATAATTTGCCAAAATCCATATCCCAGCAATGGAACTGGAAAAGTCAGCATACCATTTCAGGTTACATCAAATAAGATATGATTTTCAAAATATGATTTGCTGGGAGATAATCCATTAAACAACTCAGCTTCAGCTCATCAAATTTGAATGGCATTTGGTGAATCAGTTGGAAAGATACTCATATACAGGGTATTGCAAACAAAATACTAAAAACATTCAACCTAAACATCTTCCTTCCCAATTGAGTTATTTTCACAAAACTTTCACATTGCATAAATGAGTCTCCATCCCTAGGAGGCAGAAAAGCAGGAGGGATGGTGCTTGAGTGTGTCCTCCACTCCACTACAAGCAGGAGCTCTTGTCCATTCTCAATGTCTAACTTCTTTTCAATAATTGCTGATAGAATTGCTTTGGCACAACAAATTTGGGTGAAATTTGAGGTATCAGTTGGAAACATACTCATATATGTAATGTGAAAGTTTAACAAGAATAACTCTATTGGGAGTGAAGAAATTTAGGTCAAAAGCAATTGGTCCTTTTTTTGCCATACCCAGAATAGTAGAAATTTTCATGAAATTCCTGTTATCCTATCTTACACAATCTAGTGAGACAGAACTGGTAAACTGTAAACAGAATCCTGACTAGTAGTAGATCTATAGAATTACAAATTAATGCAGTTATAACTTCTTTCAGCAACTAATACAAAATGTTATTTCTATCCAGGTTCTAAAGCCATTTAGCAGAAAACTGATTGTCAGTCCATGCAACAGGCTTCCTAATAAAGGACACTTGACATTGCTGTCAATGTCCATTACATGTGGCAGATAAACAGAAGCAGCTATATAATTTCCTGAGATTGGGTCTAAATAAAGAACTTTGTGAGCTCATTGCATAGAATATGTCCCAAGTCCCAAGTTAAAGCCAACCTACTTAATGATCTGAATTAGACAGATATTATAGTAAACTTGATGAAAGGGTCATTAAGCAATTTAAAATAATTTTAGGAGGGCATTTCTCAAAAATTTTCTTCATACAGTGGATCATAGATCATATATCATAGATGAATATTTACAATTTTACCAGGGAGCTCAGATTTGCAAGTCTCTACTGCAAAGGTAAATATCCCTCAAATTTAATTCAATTTGAAGAAAAATAAAATGTCTGCTCTCCTGAAAATGTTCAATATTTTATTTTCACATTTATTAAACTTATGATGTTATTTATGCTTGTTATCCATTCCATTTCTGCTTAAAAAAAAAACATTGAAAATGGAAACTCTAATAAAGCTATGATAGGAGAGTATCATATGCTCACAATATGAAAGAGTTTTGGGCTAAATGGCAAACAAGAACAAGGGTCTCTGCAAGGTCTTGTTGCATTACCTGACAACTTATTGCATTACCCAAATATCCTCTAATCTTTTTGCAGAGTTCCTCTTAGGAATTTCAGACAAATGCATGGGGTGAAATTGCTATCTAATTTTAGAAGGTTGAAGTTCTTGAGTGAAGAGGTCGGTATCCACTTCATTGTGTTTATTTCCCTCCGTATCTTTTCAAGTAAGGGACGTGTGTACTTCTTTTCTTTAAGAGCTCTACACATTATCTTGACGTCTTAATCATTCCTATTTGCATCCTTTGATTTATGAGATGTCTTCCCCAGTAGCAGGCTCCTGAAAAAAACAACAACAAGAATTTTAATTCCTTCAGTCTTGTAATAATTTTACAGAATATGAATTTCATCCACAAAATAAAATTAATTGGGACATGAGCAAATCTAATTTAAAAGTACTGCAAAACTTTCTGCAATAGCTCAGACCAGCTCTCCAGTGGACTTTTGTCAAATACTGTATGATGCTAGTATTTACCTTATTTCCCAATTTTTGAACATCAACATCAGGCACTATAAAGTGGACTAAACTTAGAGGATTGTAGATTTGAAAATTGTTTGCAGTTTGGTCCAAATGTAACTGTATAGCTGCTACTAGATCAAATTACAACTGACCAAGATGACCAACCCTAACACAGCAACAAATTATGCAACTACACCCACAAGACCCATTAGCTGTGGCCTCCAAAAGAAATTGCACAAGCATTTTAGAGATATCCTACTCTAGGATTATACTGAGTGCTTCAACTCATCCAAGAAGACAATTTCTCAAGAACTTTTCCTTGCAGTCGCATTTGCATACACCCATATGACAAGTTAAACCAGCAATAAGGTAATGGCACTTTTGCCAAGGCATAGTGATTCAAATCATGAAGTAAGTTTTTCATCCAGTTACTCAATACAACCAATGCAAAGACATGAACTAACGTATGAAGATGCAGCCAATGGCAGGCAATGTCAATTGTCATGCTCAGTTGAAAGAAGAACATGTAGGATGGATAGAAGTATGAGAGAGTTGCCAACAGACACATAGTGGCACATCTGTCTGTCAACTGGTCCAGCATTGCTCCAAACCTTGTACCTGGTATATACAAATTGCACTGATTATAAGACTGTCATAAGAAAAAAACATACTACAATCTTGATTTTTTTTGTAAATCATCATTCAAATGTTGCAATATTCTCAGGTGTCATATTCCTTTACTTAAGAGATTTTGGATTTTTGAAATATACACTGAAGTAAAGCAAGGACAAGAAGAATGCTTTGGCAAAAAGGAGAAGCCATGTGTAAATCAGTGGGACCGAAAGCAACAATGCTGTTGCATACTGGATGAAATCAAGGGTATTGCTTTTTCTTGTCCCCTTCTTGATATGAACTCTCATGGCTCTTTTAAATACAGGGTGGGCCAAAAAAAAAAAAACTGGACAGTTTTCAACTGTACACTATAATGCACTCACAGCATATATTTTAATGAGGTTTGTGCCATTTGAAAGAAGAATGAATAAGTTTTACAATGGTGTATTTACATTTCAAATATCTTCAACAGTTTCAGAAATTCAAAAGCTCATATAAACACCAAGCAAAAATTATGTTGCCACAGGATACAACAGGGATGGATAGGCAGCATTCTACATGACTGAAGGTCACATGCTGTCTCCCTCTAAGAATGCGGCAATAAAATTTTTGTTTGCTGTTCACACAAAGTTCCTGAATTTCTGAAACTGCTGATGATATTTGAAAGGTAAACATATCATTTCAAAGCTTATTTATTCCTCTTTCAAATGCCACAAACCATATTAAAATATATGCAGTGCATGAAGTGTAATGTATCGTTGAAAACTGTTTTTTTGGCTCACCCTGTACAATCATCAGATGCAAACCATTTAATGTCATAATGGGAAGCAAAAGAGTGACAGTAGATAATATGTGTTTATTCTGAGAAACTTGTTGAAGTTCTTTGGAACAAAGGTCCTGTTTAGTGAGACTAAGATTTAATAAGGTTCTGTTAAACAAAAGAAGAAACTTCTAAGAAGTGGTACACTTGAATGCTCAGGTGTAAAAAGCAAACATATTTCTAATATAGGTAGGGAAACAGATGTTTCTGAAATTTTGCAGTGAATTATTGATCTACTACCATTTTTATTTATTTATGAGAATAAAGAAAATGGCTGATCATCAAGTAGTAAAACACATCCAATGAAGTTGTGCTAGTTCATAATTCCAGAAAATTTTCTGCGTTGGACAGTTCCCTCTCTGGAAGGCAACCAACTGCAAATGAAAAACATTTAAAACATCATGAGAGCATTTGAATTTCAAGCCAAACTTTTTTGACTGCCAGTGTTTCTGTTAAGGCTTAGTTTCTGAGTTGATACTTTGCCATTCACCAGTAACTGGACAGTCCTGTAAAAAAAAAACTTATTTCTCTTCTTGGTATTGAAAGAACATGAGTAAACATACTCTGATTGAAGAATCTAGCTGCATGCCCATCTACTGCATCCAAAAGTCCAGCAAGGATGTAGGATAGTACAGCCTTGACATGATTTGTTGGCATATGATAGCACGCCAGCAAAGTCAGAAAGATGCGAAAGTACCCTGAAAACCAAGACACTCATCATCAGTTAATGTATTCCTTCCAGAACTAACTTTCATTTTAAAAATTTTATGGAAAAGGAAGAAAAGTTATAATACTTTTTCAGAAGAGGAGAGTCTAATAGCAAGTGAAGAGGAAAATAAGATTTTCATCATGCTGTCATGACTTAAACATGAAATTGAGTTGAAGTATAAGCCCAAATCTAGGTTACGACCATTTCATTATAATTTCAGGAAGTGCTTGCAAGTTTTTATAAGCATCAATGCTTATAAAAACCAACCAGGCAAATTTAAAAACTACATCTGAAGGTTAATTAAAAATTGCTGCTAGACTGGCAAAAGTATGGTTTAATAATCAGTTTGAGTCATCCAGCAAAAAATAAATTTTCCACACAATGCGATAGTGATACTCACCAATGAGATTTGGTATGAAGAGAAAGATGTTTTCTCTGGCAAGTGGCAGCATATTTGGGTTATCCATAACCAGTGATGAGGCTTCACACTAATTCTTCAGAAATTTTAGAAGAATGCTTTCATAAACCCAAGTCTTTAAAGAGTTTGCTTGACTTTGTTCTTTGAAGTTTTCTGGATGGCAAATCCAGTTGCAAGAGAAATAAATGTTCAATAATGGAGAAGTATCTTCCCTCAAACACCACCTGATAGGTGAAGAAAGATAATAGCTATAAATTCCAATATATTATTACTATTACCTTCAATCTTAAAAAAAAGAGCAAGATGTGATTCAGGAACAGGTGATACCTTTGCAAGGCACAAGGCATATCATACAATCTTGCTTCCTCACAACATGATAATTTAGTAACTAACAATGCAAGAAGGTACATTTCTGTTCCAGATATACATCTTCCTCAGTGATAAAACAGTACACAGTTTTCATGAGCAGTTTCTGGTACTCTAATATCATGCTGATATTGCTATAATAGGTTCCGCTTATCATGATCACATCGGTGCACGAATAACTTGATAACATTAACTGTGATAACTGATAACTTTCTGCAGTGCTTCTCTCCAACGTGTTTTAGGCAACTGAGAGATATCTGGGAAAATTGAAGAAGGAAAGGTTCTGAGATGACAAATATTCATAAAAAAGATACCATAAAAGTTGCACATCTGAGGTTTCAATTGAACCCCAATGCTGCAATATAGAGCATTCTTGCAGAGAACATGTAGTGCAATCCCAACAAATAGTACATGTCAGGGTTTTTGTGGAAATAAGGGATTTTGGGTCTTTCCTCCCAGTTAGATATGGAATTCACAAAACCCATGGGTTAGTTGGAATCATCTCATAATGCTTTAATCATTTTGCTAACCTCTAGGGGAAGTCAGAATCAAGACATCTGGGGGATAGGTGCTTCATTGTAGTCAAAGCATTATTGCAGTCAATAATTCATGAAGCATTATCTCATGTGCACAACTGATGGATCCTACTGCCACACATGAGAATTTTGATTCTACCCTTAAAGCACCCATGAAAAACATCACACTGTTGGGCACCTCAACAGCTTGCTTATCCAATGTGTTCTAGCAGGACAATGTCAGTAGAGAGTTGGTGGAACAAGGAAGGAAATTACACCACAAATAAAAGTGGGCAGANTTTTTGGCTCACCCTGTACAATCATCAGATGCAAACCATTTAATGTCATAATGGGAAGCAAAAGAGTGACACATCTATTATACACAAATAAGACTCTTTGAACAACTTCAAGAAACCTTGTTTCCAGGACAAATCACTCTGATTCTAAATTATTCCAAGACAATTTGTTTTCTTCTTTGAAGATTCTTCACCATGTGACGAATGCTCAGGTGTAAAAAGCAAACATATTTCTAAAATAGGTAGGGAAACAGATGTTCCTGAAATTTTGCAGTGAATTAATGCTCTACTACCATTTTTATTTATTTATGAGAATAAAGAAAATGGCTGATCATCAAATAGTAAAACACATCCAATGAAGTTGTGCTAGTTCATAATTCCAGAAAATTTTCTGCGTTGGACAGTTCCCTCTCTGGAAGGCAACCAACTGCAAATGAAAAACATTTAAAACACCATGAGAGCATTTGAATTTCAAGCCAAACTTTTTTGCCTGTCAGTGTTTCTGTTAAGGCTGAGTTTCTGAGTTGATACTTTGCCATTCACCAGTAACTGGACAGTCCTGTAAAAAAAAAAACTTATTTCTCTTCTTGGTATTGAAAGAACATGAGTAAACATACTCTGATTGAAGAATCTAGCTGCATGCCCATCTACTGCATCCAAAAGTCCAGCAAGGATGTAGGATAGAACAGCCTTGACATGATTTGTTGGCATATGATAGCACGCCAGCAAAGTCAGAAAGATGCGAAAGTACCCTGAAAACCAAGACACCCATCATCAGTTAATGTATTCCTTCCAGAACTAACTTTCATTTTAAAAATTTTATGGGAAAGGAAGTTATAATACTTTTTCAGAAGAGGAGAGTCTAATAGCAAGTGAAGAGGAAAATAAGATTTTCATCATGCTGTCATGACTTAAACATGAAATTGAGTTGAAGTATAAGCCCAAATCTAGGTTACTACCACTTCATTATAATTTCAGGAAGTGCTTGCAAGACCTTTTCATCAATGCTTATAAAAACCAACCAGGCAAATAAAAAAACTACATCTGAAGGTTAATTAAAAATTGCTGCTTGACTGGCAAAAGTAGGGTTTAATAATCAGTTTGAGTCATCCAGCAAAAAATAAATTTTCCACACAATGTGATAGTGATACTCACCAATGAGATTTGGTATGAAGAGAAATATGTTTTCTCTGGCAAGTGGCAGCATATTTGGGTTGTCCATGTGGTCACTACTCCGAAGTGTGATTAAGAAGTCTTTAAAATCTTCTTACGAAAGTATTTGGGTTCAGAAATTTCTCAAACGAACTGAAACAAGAAACTTCAAAAGACCTACCGTTTAGGTCAACGTTCAGAAATAAATGTTCAATAATGGAGAAGTATCTTCCCTCAAACACCACCTGATAGGTGAAGAAAGATAATAGCTATAAATTCCAATATATTATTACTATTACCTTCAATCTTAAAAAAAAGAGCAAGATGTGATTCAGGAACAGGTGATACCTTTGCAAGGCACAAGGCATATCATACAATCTTGCTTCCTCACAACATAATTTAGTAACTAACAATGCAAGAAGGTACATTTCTGTTCCAGATATACATCTTCCTCAGTGATAAAACAGTACACAGTTTTCATGAGCAGTTTCTGGTACTCTAATATCATGCTGATATTGCTATAATAGGTTCCGCTTATCATGATCACATCGGTGCACGAATAACTTGATAACATTAACTGTGATAACTGATAACTTTCTGCAGTGCTTCTCTCCAACGTGTTTTAGGCAACTGAGAGATATCTGGGAAAATTGAAGAAGGAAAGGTTCTGAGATGACAAATATTCATAAAGAAGATACCATAAAAGTTGCACATCTGAGGTTTCAATTGAACCCCAATGCTGCAATATAGAGCATTCTTGCAGAGAACATGTAGTGCAATCCCAAAAAATAGTACATGTCAGGGTTTTTGTGGAAATAAGGGATTTTGGGTCTTTCCTCCCAGTTAGATATGGAATTCACAAAACCCATGGGTTAGTTGGAATCATCTCATAATGCTTTAATCATTTTGCTAACCTCTAGGGGAAGTCAGAATCAAGACATCTGGGGGATAGGTGCTTCATTGTAGTCAAAGCATTATTGCAGTCAATAATTCATGAAGCATTATCTCATGTGCACAACTGATGGATCCTACTGCCACACATGAGAATTTTGATTCTACCCTTAAAGCACCCATGAAAAACATCACACTGTTGGGCACCTCAACAGCTTGCTTATCCAATGTGTTCTAGCAGGACAATGTCAGTAGAGAGTTGGTGGAACAAGGAAGGAAATTACACCACAAATAAAAGTGGGCAGAGCTTAACACTTACTTTTGTACTTGGAGCAAAGTCCTATCTTCTCTAACCCAGGCCTTGAATAGAAATCCCCAAGCTCTCTAACAATGCCAATGGGAGACTCCAAAAACATTTTGCTAGGTACACACTAACACCTTCAATGTTGAAGGCGTCTCCCTTTATTGAAGCTGCCTGATCCTTCCATATATCTCTTTCTTCAGTATTGATAGGCACTAGCAGGCATGGCATTCTTCACCTTTCAGTAGGTGGTACACGCTTAAGAACTTCCCATGGCAGGATATGTGAAGTCAAAGGAAGAGAGATTTAGAATCTCCCTAGTTTGTCAACATTTATGAGACATTCAGATGATTTCAATATACTCATGGGTTATTCACCTACCTCCCACTTGGAAAATTCTGAATCCCCCTAGATTAAGTAAAGCCACACAATATACATTATATTTGAGATGGTAATTCAGAAGTCTAAGTTTTCACAAATAAATTAAAAAATTTAATGGCACGTGAATGCAAAGGGAAAATTCCATTGTTACTATAGTCACTGCACACACAAGAGAAGATTTTGTGACCTCATGTGACACATTTACATCTACAAGGTGGTCCATAAGTTACAATTTGTTCAATATTTACAATAGGGTTTAAGTTAACATACCTATTTATTTACTATCGTGAAAAAGTATGTGAAATCAACCATCAGAATTCACATATTTCCACTATCAATTGAATCTGCGTGGGTTCCATAATGTTCAACACAGACCACCATTCTCTTTGAGGACCAACTGAGACTTTTGGGGCACCCCGTACAAACAATATCCTATGAAGTGATAGCCTGCTTATGATTCTTTGTATGACCAATTAGAAGCACAGCTTCATGAAAGTAGGGTACATACTAGCAACTAGATGCAGACAAAGTCTGGGCAAACTGGAGCGAAAGAATTTAAACTCCAAATTATGTCAACACCTGCACAAGGCCTGCACCTACACCTGCCTTCTCACCATCTCTGAAAGTTGGAATTCATTCATAATTTTAGAATTTGGAAGTGATAGCTGCATTTTCTGAGATGTAAAATTTGTATAGTTTTGAGATATACCATCAGAACCTGATTCAGGAGCAGATATGTGGGTATATATGAACAACACATTTATTTACTTTATGGTTGAGTGGTAGCAAGAATCATTCCTAGGGCTCTACCCTGCCATTGCCGCATCTCAAATTAGAATCATCATGAGGATTCTAAATGTGGGAATTAAATTTCACCTCAGAATCCCCTACTTTCGAATACAACAGAAATGGCTAGCTGTTTAAAACAAGCATCCATATGGAGGCTGTCAGATTCTCAAAGACAGCATCATATCAGGAATCTCAAAATTGCTAAATGGTAGCTTGGATTGCTTGCATGTGAGTGAAAATTCACAAAATGGCCAAAGTACAGCTGCTTGTGCTGGAGCAGAGATGCACAACCACTGGCCCAAAGCCATATAAAATCCTTCTGCTGGCACTGCCATCCAAAGGGATATACCACCCCATTGAAGATAGTCCTGTGTCCCCCAATGAGCACCCAGCAGTCACTATCTGACCAGATGCACAACCACTGGCCCAAAGCCATATAAAATCCTTCTGCTGGCACTGCCATCCAAAGGGATATACCACCCCATTGAAGATAGTCCTGTGTCCCCCAATGAGCACCCAGCAGTCACTATCTGACCCTTCAGCAAAAAATGTTATGCATCCCTGTACTAGAGCAATGGAAGAGGAAGCCAATTAGGCTAACCAAGCCAGATACAACCAGGTTCAGTGAAAGCTATATGAGTCAGATGATGGTGAATTTATATATTTTTCTCACATTTTATAAGAATGTTTGGAAGTTTCCTATAGAAATGTCCAAAATAAACCTTTCTCCTAAAAGTCAACTCATGCTTCACTATGAAGACATTGCATTTAACAAGATTAGCATCATTCAGACCAAAGGAATATTTCCCATCATAAGAAACCTGGCAAATTGATGATAGTCTCATGAAATTTGCTTAAACACTGTGGCATATTCAGAGAAAAATTTGGCTCCTGCTCCTAAATGACTTATAAATTGCAAGATCTTCATAGTAAAAATCTCTGAAAACACCTATAGTAGCAGAATCAGCATCTCTACTTATTTGTTCACTGTCTTATCACCATCACAAAACACCAGCCATTTTTAATGATCCCAACTAAAAAGATAATACTAGGAATATGACACACCCATACATTGAACTCTTTTCGTGACTTGAGTAGTGCAACTTCTTGTACTGGGTATTAATCCTACACCCTAAGGATCACTGGAGATCTTAGGAAAAAACGTAACAAGATATACCTTAGGGAATATATTGGCAACATGCCATGAAGCCTGCAGATATAATTGCCTTAGCTTTCAGCTATAGCTTCAATTAAAATGTATCCCTTGCTAAGACCAACACATGGGTCTTAAGCATGAGTATTGAAGCATCCCTGATCCACATGAGGATTTCAAGACAGGGAACATGCTATTTCTGGTCAACTCATGCTGGGATCACTCAGAACTTAAACTAAAGCTTTAGATTATGCTCAAGGAATACGAGAGTCTCTGATATATTCTTTTCCTTGTTTTGAGAAAAACTATAAAAATAAGTAAGATCAATGCATGTTGAGGCAAGTATGATATGCTTTCAAAGACTTCATGACTCAAAGGCCAGCAGGTGTTATAAATCATGCCTTAAATGCATGATCTCTCATCACCTTAGCAACTTTCAACAAGACTACAGCTAATGAGGATACCATTTAACAAAGGAACAATCAGACATACTACAAAGGTAGTTTGACAATGAGTGAGAATCTTAGAAAGGACAGGATGTCATAGGAGTCACCTTGCTGCACTTTAGCTCGTGCTTGAGATTCGAACTACCCTCGTACTTGAAGAAATAACTACTAGATTCAAGACACTTCATATCAAAATATATAACTTAACAGAACTTTCAATTATATATACACACATGAAATAATGAGAGATGCATCAGCACATATGGATGTCAAACACCATAGCTGACAGCAGCTTGAAGCAGAAACATATTCCACTAGTTCCAGCAAGAAGCCACTCACAGAAGTTCTTGACACAGCTTGGGACCATATAACACATGGGATGGGAAACAGGATGTGAGTAGAGGATAAGTCAGTATCTATACTTGGTTGAGTAGTCCTTGGGAGAAACCACAAGACCACGTCCCTTCCGGGCACCTCGGTACACTGTTTCAACAATGTCAATCATTTCCTGCTTATCCTCCATGGCCCAATTGATTTTATTGTTGTTCCCAGTGCCCAAGTCAATCATGATATGCTTGTTACGAAAGAAGAACATCACTGTGCAAGGGTCATACAATTCATACCTGTAGAAAAACCAGACCAGAGATACATTTGCAACAGTACCTGTTGAAAGAAGCCTTGCATAACAATATTCACAATTTTTATCTGAAGATGAATCTTTTCCCATGAAAGAAATACATGAGGGGAGGTGCAAAAGTAGTGAGACTCATGTTTTTATTGTCTGTCATCCTTTCAATAAACAGAACCATGGATTGGAAAAATGTGTATGGAGGCAGGAAGACTATCTATAGAAATAAAGGGTCTATATTCACACAAAGGTATAAATAAACTCCTGCCCACATAATTACGAAGTCTCACTACTTTTGCACCTCCCTTGTACATATAATATTTTACTTTATGGATCTGTAATGAAATGGCTCATGTTTGAGCATCAAGAGTTTTACAGGTTGAATAACTGCACTACATTATAAGTATGATGTACAGCCAATATGTATCAAATATATTAACAATTTGGCACCAACAGTAATAACAAATTCCAGGTTCATACTTATGTTTCCATAGGATCCTATAACCTTAATAGCATGAATGACTTTGAAAAATAAGTATTTCTTCCTCTTGTTCATTCTTCTCAAAGCATCACTTTCTCAGCCATGCTATTTTAAAACACTCTACATGAGAGGAAGTAAACATAGTTTTGCAATATTTCTAGGATAAAGCAAATTGTCTATGTGGAGGCATAAAATTAACATCTGAAAGACTTCAGTGAGATCGCATCTTGTCAATTATAAGAAAATTTTCAGCTTCTTTAATTTACTGGCAGATAAATATAAAAGCAGGGATCATAGCAACACTTCATTGGCAACTCAGGGTTCCCCAAGAAATGTCCATAAGCAAGTCCAGCTGAATAGACTATTGTCCTTTAATACTTTTTCCAGAGATTATCCATTTAATTCTATATAACCCCTGCCTACCCCATCTACTAGACATAACCCTGTCCTGCTACCTCTTCCAATCTCAAGTTTGGTAGCTCTTTAACTACCTCTCTAATGGAGAACCACATTCAGATAAGTAGTGCTACCCCTCCTCCCCAGCTGTGCATGCTTTCGGCACTAGCTAGTCTGCTTCAAAAATATTCTGAGAGAATCCTACAGCTAAAATGCATTCATCAGGAATTTCTCTTGAAACTTCATCATATTCCTGTTATGTACTGTGGTTATTCTTCCATACACCTCTGAAAACTTGTTTTCTCTGGTCTCTCTTGTAAAGCACTTTGGAATAATCCAAATGCCATATGATTCTTCAACAACTCCAGGTTTTCCTCATAATAATGCTATGGGAATCCTTACTTTGTACCATGAGAAAATATTGGCAAGCATAAGAGTCATGTGATTTGAGATGCCACATACTTAGTCTGAGTGCAAAGTCAGGTCACTCTTTAGGCTGACACCTACGAATTTTGTCACCCCCCCCATCCATCATCCTATATATGGTGGGGGATCCTGAGAGGAGTGTTAACACTAGAAAATTAGATAGCTCAAATTTTTATTATTATCCCAACCTCATAAACTTGAGGGCTTGCTTACAGTGATAAAGGAAAAGGGTATTTTTCACCCTTTGCATGTCAATCTAAAGAGAGGTCCTACTATACTCAAAAGTCATAAGCAAGTAAGATATGTAGGGGAAAGTGCAAACACAACATTCCAAAGTTGAGAGCTAGCAGAAAGTATAGACATTGTGCATTACTTGTCACATGAAATTTGACAAGGAAATTATTGAATAATTACTTAATTTGTGATCACATTCCTTACTGAAACATCAATAAATAGTCCCTGGCATTAATGAATAATTCATCTCGCATATAGACATGATAAAATAAATGATGACAACTAAAAACAGTAACATTCACAAGTGGAACTACAATACATGACATTTGAAACTCACATCTTATTGAAGTCAGGCACTTCAGTAATGTCGACAAGATATATCACAACAAAGTTCTTCACTTTTTCTGCAATGCTATAGAGAACTTCATCCATCTTCATACATGTTGGATCCCAATCATGCCCAAATCGAATTACCTAAAGGACAAACAAAATTCAGTTCAAAAGAGGTTTATACCAATTGTCCAGTTTACATGTAATAACGCAACAGTTCCTGAATAAACCCAGTCTTGTGTTAACAACAGTTGTTTCATGAACAGCTATGAGAAATAGCCATTCAATCTGGACTCATGTCACAGCACTCCCTAACTCTTGACTTTTCAATCACTTGGCTAAAAGTGACTAACTTAGAATACGGCATGCCTTGTGCACACATATATCTCTATGCAGACTGAGTTTAGATACATTTTCTTTCCTTGGTGCATTTGTCTTTCTGGGTGTCAGCATTGCAAAAACACATACTTGCAACTACTCCTGAAGACATAAGGTGGAGATAGTGCAGATGGAAGGAATATGCCTACATAAAGTTTGAAAACTCAGTCAAATGACTTAACTCTCCTAGATCCAAAACCAAGTCGGTCTCAAGCTGGGCTCAGACTTTGGTACAAGCTGATGCCTCCTTTGTCAGATCAATCAAATAGGCCTAAGCTCAAGATTGGGAATGAAATATTCAAGGGCTTACTTATGCAAGCACCCTTATCCTTGAGACAGCCTAGATATGTGGATCATGTCAATTTCGACTTACCACAACACGATCTTCCTCGCTCAAGATGGCCTGGTCTACTTGCCACCCATTGTGAAGATGAGGGAGCATATACGACATCTTGCTGTTTTTTTGAAGTCGGATTAAAAGTTCAAATGATCAATAGCCTCCACGCCGTGAAAGCGAAGTGCTTCTCCTCTGCACGGTTTCAATTGGTAGCGGTTTAGCAACGTGTTACGCACGCAGACATGCACTTCTATTATTCACAGCAGGGGTGCTCACAGCTCACGTCAATGGAGAGGAGATATATGTAACAGCAGCAAAGCACATGAACGAAAAGTAGGTACCTTCTGCTTTAAAAAAAAAAATAACAATCATAAAGTAGTTTCACTTTGAAGACTGAGAGTTTTCTAACTTCAAATAGCATATTTATGTGATGCAAAGCAAGCTACATAGCAGGCTCCCTGAGACGACATTATGGCAGCTTACAGCGCACGCCAGTGACGCCGTGCACGTGCTTCGGTGAGTTAGGTTGGTGCCTGCAGGAATTCGAATTGACAACGTATTATTTATGTAGATTCATTTCGCACTTTTTCGAATGCAGTTTGTACATTTTTAGAATAGACAGTAAAAGCTTGGGCTCAAATGTCTGCAGCTTGATTGAAGTGAGCATGGCTCCCATGGTAGGGGACCTGGGTTCAAAACCAACCACATGTTTATTTCTTAATTCAAGCCACACCAATTTTTGAATTGTGTTTGCGAATAGAGATTTTAGAGGACGCAGCACACTGACTTCACTAGATTTGGAAAGTTTGAGAACCCCGGCAGTGTTGGGTAAACAGGGATAGCGTGTCTCCGAAACAACCCCCTGGGCGAAGTCGTGTTTCGCAAAGTTAGAGGTAACACCTATTAGCGACGTGAGGGCTAAGGGGGAGGAGTGTTAACTGTCGTACCAAAGTCAAGGGACAATCATAGGCATAGAGCCTGTTGCACTCATGACTATAACTTTGAAATTTGCAATTTGTTTGTAAAAACTAATCACCCACCTTGTAAAACTATTCCTGTGATGCATATCTGCAAAGGATCTTAGTCCCAGATGAAAATACTATAGTTTCTTTTCCCATAACATTGTAGGAAAAGCTGGTTTTTTCCCCATGAACCTGAGGTGCCAAATCAGAATTTTCTGGAAAGGATAAGCAGGCAAGCACAGTGATCCAGCACCCCCATTCCAGTTATTTGGGAAAAAAATCCTGTAAAGTAATTTTTTTAAAGATTTAGCATGTACAGATACATCCTCCATGTGCATAAGGTTGGACCAGACAATTCACAAAGGGAAACTATTGAAGGCCTCTTCTGTTTTTCTTGTCATGCAGCTGACAGACTTACAGTTAACATGTCTGAAGACAATGAACTACAGACAAAATTTCAAGATTTCATTGAAGATGGTTTCATTCTGCTCCAAATCCATCACTATGCACAGATGCAGAAGGATGGAGAGCAGAAAGACTAAAAGGGAATGGAACTAAAGGAGTCATTTGTGTTTCTGCTCCTTTTCAGCATGAGATGTAGCAGCATACAGGGTATGGCAAAAAAAAGACCAACAACTTTCAACTTAAATATCTTCCCTCCCAATAGAGTTATTTTTGTGAAACTTTCACATTGTTTGAGTATGTTTCTGACTGATGCCTCAAATGCCACCCAAATTTGTTGTGCTGAAGCAATTCTGTCAGCAGTTATTGAAAAGAGGTAAGACATTGAAAATGGACAAAAGCTCCTGCTGGTAGTGCCTACCCTTCTGCTTTGCTGCCTCGTAGGGATGGGGCACGCACGTATCCTCCACTCCAATTCTATCAACAGGCATCACATATGATAGTGCAGGGGAAGTGATAGGGGTGAGGAAGGATAGGAATGTCACCCTATACACAAACCAGTTAAATCCTTCCGGCTCAGGGACCGGTTGGGAACAGATTTTCCTTAGTTGCAAGAGCTCAACAGTTACCAATGGAGTTAGGTGTTTTGTGCATGTAAAAATGTGAGTGAGGAATGCAAGTGAAAAGTGAAACTTGTGCACCCTGACAAAGTGCTAAACATTTGGGTATGCCAAAGTTGAAGTTCACATGTATCTGAGGCATACCAATGCCTGATTAGAAGGGAAAAGGCAATCGTATCTCTTCTATACATGGGCAACAAGGTCTACTTAGTAGAGTTCATGGGGAGGTTCAGTCCTCATCAGAAAATAGTATGTGCAAAACGAAGTTGAGGTTTATTTGCAGTGTTCACAGAATTTGACAGTGTGCAAAGGAACACCACCCCATCTCATTCCTAGTGTCACATTAGAGGCATAAAGTCCCATTTGTGTTTTGGAAAGGTTCATGATCTTCTTGATGAGCCAAATGTTCAAATAATGACTTGAATTGGTTTGACACCTCTTATAGCTAGGTGGACACCTTGCTCACCCCTAGAACCAGTTCTGTCTAAACAGTTCCTCATTTGTGTTGAATATGGTAGAGAGTACATGCATTTTTATTCTGTGTAGTAAGGCATACTCCCATTTCCCCTTCAGATCATTTCAAGTTGGACTCAAAGCTGAATACTTGGGAGTATAATTCTGGTAACTGAAATGCAAGCATGCATGACTAGGATTCCCTCATGCCTGCATTCCATCTCAAGAGTTTAAAAAGGAGGGACCTAACTTAAGATTACTGTTTAGTGTAGAATATTCAGAAAGGCTTTTGGCTGTGATTATATTCTAGGTATGTGCAATGCATCTCTATAAACCTTATTGTTAATATTAGGTTTTTGACTGTATCATTCCTACAAGTGAAAGAGTTTATGAATTTTTGAAGAGGGGAGTAGATGAGAGAGAAAAAATACATTTATGTACTTTGTCTAAACCTGCTCCATGGGCCCTCACCTTGTACATGTTCTTTTTTTTTATTTTGGTTTGTGCTCATGAAAAAATATGCATACATTTTTTCAAGTGGAATATTTACTATTAAAACAGACATCATTAATATGCTTATTTTCAATTCTGCATTTTCATGAAGTCAGCTTTAAGCATCTATAACATGGTGAAGTTTGGTGGCCTTCAAGCTTACACAAAGCATTTAGGAATGGAGGGATGCTCCAGGCATCATAGCACTGTGCTTGTGAGTAAATGTTAAAATCTACCAGATCTTGACATTTGTCTATTACATAATTGGCACATAACTTAAGGTGTGTGCTATTATTCCTTATCATCTTTACTCTCTGGTCAGTATAAGCAAATGAATACACTCTCAACAGTATTGTGTATGTGAAACATGTCTCCTGTGCCAGGAACGAGTGAACGTTATCAAATGTGAGGTTTTTCGTTATGGTATCAGAAAGGTCACTAACTGACAAAGTATCCTTAAATGTAAGTGATACCTTTCACTAGAAATGCTATAAGACATTTTCAAGTCACCCCATAACACAATTCTCGGCATCTGAGCGGTGTGCCTCTAGTCTCCACACAAATGTAACCTACTGAGGCTCACTGGGGAGAGGAGAAGCCTTGTCGGAGTGTCTTTGGAGGGAAGTAGAAAGGCTTCGTTAATTTGCCACCATCAGAGGTTGGAGATGCGGGGTGTCTAATTTTCTTTGCCTCGAGACCAGATGTAGGTATGCCATCTTATCCGTGTAAGATCACTCTGAACATACAAGAGCTGTGCATGTTGGGCTCTTACTACCATTTGACCGTTGAACAGTCTGACGCATCACATTCATTCGATCAGAGGCCAATCGCGGAATCGGATTGGAACAGAGAAAGAATAGCAGTGGTATGGGCGAAACAAATCTATAACAAAGGAAGACGGTGGAAATAATCATTCCGGGGTTCTACATGTTAATGTCTGCTGAAGGACTTGGGAGCAGTGGACGACGGTGCTGAGGTCAAGGCCTTTTTTTTTTACGATAATTATGGTAAGGGAAAGTCAAGGCAGACGATTCCTTGTATGTAGGAATCCTGATCATGACGTAACCCATAGGCGCCGCTCTTTCGCATCGCGTGGCGTCTTATAATTTCATTCCTTTCTGTCGCCAATGATTCTTTCGGAACAAGAAGTGTCTTTCGAAATGGCGTACTCCGATGATGTTCCACCATAGCCAATATTATGATGATATGCTCTCCCTTGAAATGTATTCAACGGCCGTGAAATTCTCTGTAGTGACACGACTGACCACTCCCGTCGAATACATAGAATTGTTAAAATTGCAAGTTACTTACTAGACTTGATGTTTTTGACATTATTCCTGTTCTTTATGGGATAGGAAGGGGGCTGATGATAACATAAGATGAACGAACCTTTGTTTACTCCAATTCAAGAGTCAAGATAGTTAGTGACATCAAGAGGCGATTTCGCCCATTTCGATATCACGTGTCGAGGTCGAGCATTCCTTAATTTTAGGGTAGGCCTAACCCTCTTAAAGCTAAATATTTTTGTATTTATTATTATTATTATTATTACTATTATTTTTTGACTATCCTAGTTGCTACTGTCTAGTACAGTGGTGCCCAACCTTTTCGGCTAGGGGCCACATAGCTCACTCCCACAGCCATCGCGGGCCATATGCAGTCACTAGTATTGTAGGAGACTATTTTAACCACTTGACAACGGGATTGACTGAGCCAGCCCAGCATCCCAACGGTATTATTCCAGCCTCAGCCAGGCGCTAAGTCCCACGACGTAAATATACGTCATCCGTAGGAAAGTACAGAGAAATAGGTATGAAGAACGAAAAACAGGTAATTTAGTAGGATGGATGGAATCAACATAAATCATCGTAAGTCAAAGCAAAGGTCGGTATCAGTTGGTCAGAATGTAATCGTGGTCAAAATCGGATTCGTAAGTCAAAGCAAGGGCCGGAAAATTAGTTTGTGGTCAGAATCGTAGATGAGAAGATGCAGAAGTAAACGGTAGGAATGAATGAGTTAGAATGCAGTCATTTATATGCAAAACCCCTGATGCAGCAGCCAAACATGTTGGCCAATAAGCGTGCAACACGTTTGCAAGACATATGTCACGTGTCAAGTGCCAAAACGTGACACGTGACATGTGACATATGTCAAGGAAGGTGAACGAGGCTGACCATTTTGGAGCAAACAGCTTTTCATTACCAAGCAAAAAAAAAAAACAAACAGCTCATAGCTCTTCAACTTTGAAAATCGAGATAATAAGTCGCGTTTATATATGTCATCCGTAGGAAAGGGGTTAAGGAAACCTGAAGGTATTAATAATTATTGTGGGTTAGGACCTCGCGGGCCACTTGTAAGCACCTCGAGGGCCACTTTTTGCCCGCGGGCCACGGGTTGGGCACCACTGGTCTAGTACCTAACGTCAACATTGCCCCCCACCTTTTTGCCTGTCCATGAAAGCATCTAGTTTCTTCTTAAAGATAGTCACAGAAGGGGCAGCCACTACTTCGTCATCTAACGCATTCCACGCGTTCACCACTCTGCAAGTAAAGAATTCCTGTCTCGACCTGAGCCGCACCTGCGGTTTGCGCAACTTAAGTCGGTTACCTCTCGTTCTCTTGCTGTCATCAAACTGGAAAAACCTACCACACTCGACATTATCTATTCCTTTAATTATCTTGAAAGCCTGGATGAGATCGCCCCTCCTTAACCTTCGTTCGAGCGAGTACAGTCTCAACACTTCTAAACGCTTCTCGTATGATAGTCCCCTAACCTCCTTAATCATTCTTGTGGCCCTCCTCTGTACTCCCTCGAGCGCCAACAAATCGCCCTTATTTGTAGGCCTCCAAAACTGGATGCAATGTTCCAACTGGGGTCTTATAGGCGCCGCATACAACGGAAGAATAACGCGCGAAGTCCTGCTTGCAACCGAACGACGGATGTAACCTAGAATCCTGTTTCATTTGGCTATAGTCGCTTGCGCGTGCGAAGAAAACTTAAGGTAATCATCGATAGAAACTCCTAAATCCCTCTCTCCGGTTGCCTCATCCAATTTAACATCGCCGAACGTGTCGAGAGACCTACCGTTGTTTCGGCCGACGTGGAGAACTTTACACTTACTTTTATTAAACCTCATGAGCCATGTAAGAAAATATTGACCACGAACGTCACGAAGATAAAAGTCTGACCTCCGTTACCGATATAAGGCCCTCTCGGGAAGTAGAGTTTCCTTCGATAACCCTAAGGCAAGTGATGCGCGCAAATGTGTCCTTAGTCGGCTTTGCTTAGCGTTTATCCGTCATCGCTACTCTCGTCTGGAATGAAGACAGCCGTCGTTTTCGCACTGTCTATTGTCGCGCTCACCTGGGCCTATCCACGACCGGGTGGCAGGGATGGTGAGTACTTCGCTATTATTCATCCCGTACAGTTGCATATCTCAGTCCTTCCCTAGCCTTTTCTGGCCGCGTTTTCAGCCAGAGGATGCAGCCGTGGGTGTCCGCTCCTCATGGATCAAGTGTGTGCCTCTAATGGCCACACTTATGCCGGTGAATGTGCAATGGAAGTTGCAGGCTGTATCAACGGAGAAGAGTTGACTGTGTTGCACAGAGGGCCATGCAAAGGTAAGTAACTCCACCGGGGTTTGAGCAGAACTCGTAAATATTCACTTCTTTTGTTTGTGCAAGCGATGAAACTTTTTATTATGCACTTTATTTGATACCTAAATCATACTTGCATTTTGATGTACTAGAAGTTAAGACATATGACAGATATTGAGATGCGATATATAATCCGGCCTAATATGTATAGCCTAGTTGAGATTTCTGGTCTGCAGATGATCCTGCAGTAACTTCATTGTTCTCCGTTTTACAGATCCTTGTGAAGATTTGGGAGGAGGATGCGATGGTGTATACGAACCATTTTGTGCTTCTGATGGTCAAACTTACGGGAACATATGCTCTTTTCGCTATGCCCAGTGTCGGGATGAGAGTCTTCGTCTTGCCAACAAAGGAGAATGCTGAATGCCAGTCTTGTGTAATACTATGATCACGTTTGACTTGGGAAAGCGGAAAAAATAAAAATTTTTCTACTGCATTTTCAATGCTGCCTCATAACCTCAATGAATACACGGCATTTCAATGTCCTCAAAGATGAAGGATATTTTAAACCTTAACCTGTGACCTGAAATCAACTTTTGAAAGAACCTGTAATAAAATTTTTAGGTACACAAGATGCCTGGGTAATCTAAACATGAGAGGTGACAGTAATGATTTTCCCTCATGAATCAGGGGGAACATTTCATGGAGCTATGTGTTCACCTTATTTACTTTTAAATTGGGTCCATGTGGCATTTTAAAAATAATCTTTTGTTGACATTATTCCACTGAAACTTCCTTAGATTCTTCTATGTTCAATTTCTCCCATTATCCAGGTACTGAGTGAAGCAGTGCTTAGTTTATCAGTGAGAGATTTTCCTCCCTTGTGGTAGCCAATGAATCAAGGTCAATGTAACTTGTATTTATTTGCTTTGTAGTGCTGTACTCTTTATTCTCAAAAAGGCTGTGTTCATCTTCCACTAGAGTAAGGGAGAAGATGGTGGCTTTTGCATTGACTGTGACTATACAAGTTATTCCATTTTCCATGGAATTTTAATAGTTATAAAATGAAAGCAATAGGTATAAATAAGCATGATCCAAGTCTATCTCTGGTGCAGTGGGAGCCCATTTTTGTCATCTTGATATGTTGTCCATGCTTCTTGATCAGTAATAACCACCTAAATGCAGATTTGCTGCTAGGCTGGAGTGAATGAGCCCACTAAAAATGAATAACAAATAAATTAGTAAATGAGCCCCACTAAGAAAAAAGAAATTAGCCAAGATAAAGAGCTGTGAAATCAGTCTAAGCATTTGTCCCTTCTTGAATTGGATTTGTTCATCTTATTTTCAGATGTTCCTGTTGGGTTGAGCCAAGGTGCTTGTTGTTGAGCTTTTTATTTAGGTGGTTGATCATCTTTTCACACTAACAAAAATGGGAAAGAAAAAGCTGGGAAAGCAGAGAAAGGACAGATTCTACCAGCTTGCTAAGGAAACAGGTTTGCTTTTTTTGTGCCATCTCTGACAATTTTGGTTTTTTTTTTTCCTTGATTTGACTTTGTTCTTGAATATGTGGCATTGATATCACTTACATGAAGAACCTTATATAAGATAAGAATTAGCTTTTTTTTTAGACAAGCATTGATTTTCCTCTGTATGATTGTGAAATTATTTTATAGAATTAAATTGGATGAGGTGACATTATGACATTCACAAAGTTATATTGGTTTGCTATGGAATGATGCCCATTTTTCATTTCATGCATTGACTGGAGACATTGAATTTACTTTTGATCCCATGTCCATAATGTAAAGCTAAAATTCAAAGGGATCAGAAATTAAGACCAAGACTATCATGCCTTATGGAAAATAATAACTCAAACTTGAACAGAGTCACTAAGACATGACAATTGTGACTATGCATGTAGCTTATTGATTGTTGCTTGTGTTCAGTGATTGTCAATAGACTGAGCTTCATTTTTTATATTGCAGGCTACAGGTCAAGAGCAGCATTCAAGCTCATCCAACTTAATAGAAAGTTTGAGTTCCTCCAGAAGTGCAGAGTTCTTGTTGATTTGTGTGCGGCTCCTGGAGGATGGATGCAAGTTGCATCACAGCACATGCCAGTCTCCAGCCTCATCATAGGTAACTTTGCCAATTCTTAATATTCTCAATATTTCCTCATAGAACTGAAATGAAAGGAAGCAGCCACCTTATTTCAAGGTAAGATCACCTGGACATGACATCACTTGGCATCAGTGTGCCATTACATTTCCAATCCTGTGATTCTACAATATGTGATGACAAAAATGTTACAGGACACTACCTCTTTGCTTCCATTCTCTCTATGGTGTTATGTGACTAGTTTAGACCTTTGCTAGCATCTGGGAACATATGAGAGTCCAGTCAATTAACAGTATCACTTGTGTTAGGTGATTGGAAAAATTGATAACATGATAAAACATAAGCCCCTCTCATGAGATGAATATAGACTTTGTTAAAAATGTGTACAATTTGACTTACACAGTATATGGACATAAAGGAGGCAGTGAAGTTATGTGTGCCTTCGGTATATTCATGAACTTCAAGTCTCAAAAAACTATATGTGCATGATAAATATGAATATGATCATCTTCAGGAGTGGATCTATACCCTATTCGTCCAATACCTAAGACAGTGGTCTTGCAAGAGGATATCACAACTGAAAAATGTCGCATGACCTTGAAACGAGAGCTTCAGACATGGAAAGCAGATGCTGTCCTTCATGATGGAGCACCCAATGTTGGTATGTTTGAGACTTCTGAAATGCCCATATTTCCTGCATGTTATATTTCTGTGCTATTGTGATAGATCTCCTAACCTCTATAACATCCAGAATACAATTTTTTTGTCTTTAAAGTACATACTACTCAAATGCTGTGTGTTGCTTCACAGGTTATCAGAAAAATGCATATACTAAACATGCACTTTCAACAGATCCACAATTCTTCATGATTCTGTAATCATTCCATTGCTATCTACTTCACATCACCATGGGGACACTAGCACTGTTATTCACATGACATAAAGTAGAAAAATCAACCATGTGGCTCATTTCACAAGTACCATTTAAATATATATCTGTATCCATTTCCACAAACAGAAGGGTTCTCAATGCACGGTGTCAGGTTTTTTGTTCTTCTTATATACCTCTATTGAATCTTACAGATCCTACTTGAAGTTGCATTATTCACATGAAAAACTAGGTAACCAAGTAAATGTAGACAATTTTGGTAGCCAATATTCCCCTGATTATCATCATTTTATTTAATTGCTAGCTCTGTAGTCTTGATCGGGTTCCTCTGCTCTTTGGCAAATCACTTTTTGGATATGAGAATATGGGTACTGAAAGCCTGATGTGGTTGTTTAAGAAAACACTTATTTTTCATATATCTGTGGTCAATGAAGTGAGAGATTCTCAAATTGTAATTTTTAAGTCTAATTTTTTGGTTTCATAATCCAGGTTGGTAACAGCTAATGCACAAGGCTATGGAAAGACAAGGGCATAAAAGAAAGGATTAAAAAAGACATCAATAGCATGACATCTTGGGAAAGGGAAGAGGTTGTTGAGCAATGAAATGGGTTTTCAAATAGCAGATGTAACTTTTTCTTTGCTTCCCATCTGGTCTTTCATCATCCCTCCCTAGTTTTTGTATTGACAAATTAGGAAACTGGCTGCCTAAAAGCAGATTTCCTCTAAGAAGTGAGCCTCAACTCACAAAAATTGAAATTGCCATCACAAGTGGGTGTTGATTTTGTCACCTTGTTTCAATTGGTAGGGATTGGCCTGGAGAGGAACCATTCACTAATTCTGTTTTTGGACACATCACAGTTTAGCCTGGCCCTGGTCTGGATGAATCATGGATTTTAAAAAATAAAAAAGACAGCTTCTTGCTGTATGGTGAAAGTGTTTGATTTTGGTTAGATGTTATCTGTCTTATCCAAGATAGGTGATTCTAGAAAAATGCTATTGCTGATGCAACCCAGATGCTCAAAGCAAGTTAAAATTGTAACAATACAATTGGAAGGTAATTCATGGTTATTAAACATCTGCTAAGATATCACCTAAGTCATTGCATAAAATATAGCAATGTGTCCTGCCTACACTACCAATAAGTGCTGTTAACTAATGTACTTTCATAAGTTGACTTGGTCATTGAACTGCATTAAATCTGAGCTAAATTGTTTGTTAATGGACTCCCATCTACACAACAAATTCTCAGCCATTGGCCAGTCCAGTCATCAAACCATGCAAAAACCTTTTAGTGCAGATATTCTTTGATACTGAGAACATTCTTCTTTTGCTTCCAGGAAAGAACTGGATTCAAGATGCATTCTCTCAAAATGAACTGGTGCTGAGTGCTCTTAAGCTGGCAACAGAGTTCCTCAATAAAGGAGGATGGTTTATCACAAAGGTATTCCGCTCGAAGGATTACCAGAAGGTCTTGAAGTTCTGTGAAAAATTCTTTAAGAAGGTGAGTTCCTCCAACCCCAATGAATTCTACACACATCTCTTTGTAGTTCCAGCCCCAAAAGGTATAGCTCTATTCCCTCTGTCTTCCAGGTCCATGCAACAAAGCCCCAGGCATCTCGTAATGAGTCTGCAGAGATCTTTGTCATATGCCAAGGATACCAACCCCCAGATAAATGGGATCCAAAAATGTTTGATCCCAAGATAGTATTTGCTGAAGAGCACATGGAACCTAAAGTTCGTTTGAACCTGGCACACCCAGAAAAGGAGAAAAAGAAGGCAGAGGGGTATCCTGAAGGTGACTTGAGCTTGTATCATCGTGTTCCTGTATCAGCATTCATCAAGCGAGGCAATTACATTGAGTTGCTGACATCTGCATCTGAAGTATATTGCTGTCTCTTTTCCTTAGGAAGTGAAAAAATGCAAATGGTGCCTTTCACTTCTTACATGACTTTCTTCTAGTTATACTTTGACGATGAAGAGATTTCAAAGAATCCATTGACGACCAATGAGGTGAAGGAGTGTTGCAGAGACATCAAAGTATTGGGTAGGGCTGACTTGCGACTCCTTCTCAACTGGCGCAAGAAGATGCTGCAGGAGTATAGGAAAAAAGAAGGAGAGGAGGAAAATGAACCAGAGGAGGAAGAGGAGGATGAAGAGGAGAAAGTTAAAAATGAAATAGCTCATTTGAAAGTTTGTTGATGGCTTTGTCTACTCAATCTGAATGGATGCATATGGGGAATAGTGACTTAAAAGAACATGCTCTTCCCCCCTTTGTAGAAGGAAGAAAAAAAAGAAGTTAAGAAGAAAAGGAAAAAAGAAAGGAAGAAGGCAAGACAGTTCCAGAGGAAAGTGGACATGAAAATGGAGATGCCAAATGCTGAACCTCTCCAGCAAGACGAAGCTGATCTTTTTCGTCTGGCACATTTACGAAACAAGCAGGTCAGTGTACCTTCAGACCCACAAATCTCATTCATCACATTTACAAGAATGAGACATTGGAGATTTCATAAACCCCAGAATTTACCAGATCCTTCACCATTTTGTTCCTTCCAGTGTGAAAATAATGTCCCATTGGGCCATTTCTGAGCATTTCCACTAGGTAAACCATGGGTATCAGATTAACCCATCCACTGCTTACATGACATGTAAACACATCATTCCCCAACTGCCGTGTGCCAGCTTCACATGCTAATGCATCATGATATACACATTTTTTATGGAATTGCATTTGTATTGTAGTTAGCAGAAAGTTAAGTCGACATTTTCATACAGCAGACTGTTTTTCAAATTTCCCATAGCATTCCATGTGCTAACTTCCAGGCAGCAGTGAATGGGTTAGGAAATGGTTAATGATGGAGTGGAAGAAGAGTGGAGAAGTTTGTTTTGGTTGCTCAAGATGAAGTAAGTTTTTGTATTTTGCCACAAAGCTCAGCCAGTAATATAAGTGACCTTGAGCTTATCCTGGCATTTGCATGCATATGCATAATGTATACTCAATTTGAATGAATTACGATTATGAATATGTTGAAGAAAACTTGAATATGAATATTTTGTGTGAGTATTTGTGTGATGGTTGTTTAGACTGTTTGGCTGTTTAGCCAATGCCCTAGACTGGCTGATGAATTTCAATGGATAAAACTAAATGTGCTACATCCCTCATGGATTCCAGACAATATCTTGATACCATAACCTTCATATGAATGGAGCAATGACATACCTGAAGCCTGATATAGAATATTCCATTATAGTGAGAAATTATCTGTTCTGCTCAGGCTGTAGACGATTTGGGGAAAATGGACATGGATGCTGCTAAGGAAAAGGAGGAGAAGGAGGAGGGTGGTGAGGAAGAGGAAGGAGAGAATCTCATGCCTAAATACACAAAATACTCAGTGGATGACAAGAGATTGAGCAGCAGTGGCAAGTACTACAAAGCAGAAGGAGAGAGTGACAGTGACATCCAAGATTCCTCTGACGAAGATGAAGACACAGATGAAGCTGAAGATGAAGGAGAGACTTTGAAACTAGTGACAAAAGGAAGGGATGGGGATTCCTCAGAGGAGGAGGAGGAAGAAGATGAATATGAAGAGACAAATCCTCTGCTTGTTGATGTCATGTCAAAGGAAGAGAAGCGAGCTTTCAGGGCTCAGAGTTGGTTTAACAGGGTATGATTCCCTCTTTTACTGAATTTGGCCACATGTTGGGCTTAATCCTTGAAGCATATGGAAGCTTACCCTCTAATAAGAAAGTAATGCATTAAAAATCTTATAAAAATTTTCAAATTTGTTTTATAGGCTTATGGACTTCACAGTTGTTGAATTAGGAGTGACTTTATGGATTTGCCCAAGGTCCTCATAATTCATATACTGTACAAACTTACATTGCTCACCATGCTGTTTTCATCCAAATAAGTCAGAATTCATTAACCATTCTGAGTTAGTTGTAAATCAGGCATCAAAGCTATTTCAATGTCAATGAAGCATTAGAAAGCTTCAAGCGAGGGCATTCTTGTTGATGTGCTTCTTGCAGCTATCATTTTCCTTGCCTCTGGAGCTTGGTAAATGTGGTTTTCCTGCTTTTCTGTAAATGGGAGGTTTTTACTTTTGTTGCCTCATCCCAGGCAACCTTTTCCACCCAGCGAGAGGCAGCTTAGGAATGATCTCATTCTTAAGCTGCCTGATGCTTCAACATTGTCCTCACCAAAGCAAAGGGATATTGAAGTGGTAATCAGTGTTAAAGTCACATTTGGCAAAGTGAAAAAAAAAAAAACGGAATTGGTATTAAAAGTCAGATCTGAAGTTTTGAGTGAACCCAGCACAATAATTGTTTGGTTGTCTTTGAATCTTTTCTCCCTTATTTGCTTTTCAGAGTATGCTCTAATGTTAGTAATTTTTGAGAAAATGTATTATGTTTGTTATTCTTATTGTATGTTTATATCCAAAATGCTCATGAACTCAAAAGTTTGTGAATGTCTCAATACACTAAAAAAAAATATGCTGAATATTTCATTTCTGTTTTTAGACTTTCCAGTCTTGATATTTTTTTTTAAATCTCAGAATCCTCTTTTTTTAAGTTGACACCTGATCTTATCTGCATTGCAATGGTTGTCTATGGGCAATTTAGGCAAGAAAGACTTTTAAAAAATACTGAAGATAGGAAAAATACATAAAGACTTAGGCATGTCCAGCTCTTTCAAGTAGTTTTGTTTTGTAGTGCATTATAAAAAGCTTTGAAACAATAAGAAAATGGGGGGAAAAGGCAAGAGTGTAAGAAAACCATGAAGGAAATTATGGATTACCAGTATCTCTACTCCTATCAATAAGTAGACTCCTTCCAAGTCTATCATCTCATGACCTAAAAAATTGTAGTCTTGTTCTGTGTATTGCTAGACCTAGTTATTGGTAGGAGTTCAGGTTCTGGCTACCCATATTCTTATTTGCTGAACATCATGCAATGTTAGATGGTTATTCTGAGGTAAGTTAATCTTCACATGAATGAATTACTTTTGGATACATGCTAACTGGATTGGATGGTGTTGAAATGCTTGATATCATAACATGCTTATGATTGCCATAATATACATGGAAAAGGTTGAGTAGGATTACTATTATATTTATCATTGCATACATCTTGGATCTTTCAAATGACACTTATGCTTCTTTCCTTTACGTCAAGGACGTGTTCAAGGGAGTTGAGCAAGAACTGGATGAAGACGTAGAGTTGGAGGCACTGGAGAAGGAGTATTTGAAAAAGGGGCAACAGCTGGCAAGCAAAGAGAAGGAGAAGGAACAGGCAGGCACTTCACCCTCACATGACCTTGAGGAAAATGATGATGGGAAAGAGGAGAAAAAACACAGCATTGGAGAGGGGTCATCTGATGTAGAGGAGGAAGAGAACAATTCCCTAGCAATAGGTCCCCTGTCTTTTTTATTCTGGGTCTTGATATATGTCATACTGTACATCAATCCATTGACCCCCTAACTGTTTTTTTTAATGTAATATTATGTGTCTGTAACATTGTCTTGTAAACTGATTGTTTTCTATGTAGTATTACATGTTTTATGGTAAATTTTGTCCACCAGTGCACAGACAAAGATGAGACATTTAAAAATTAACTCACAGAATGTACACATTTTTACCAGAATTCAAACACTTAGGGGGTAAATGGTTGTATGTGGAATTGCATTACACTGAGAAGGTATCATAGGGATGCCTTAGTAATTTTCAGTAGCAGGGAATAATGCTGATGGTACTTAACCCTCTTAGTGCCCAAGTCAAATGGATCAACACTATGAAGTTTGCTTAAAAATGCCAGAGTTGAAGAGCTGGCACAAGATGGGTTAAAGTGAAATTGCTCATGATCAAGTGCTCTGGCAAAATACATTTTCCAATCCTTTTATTGCCAGCTCTTTGACTGACTTTTTTAAATGAAAATTTTAGCTTCAATCTAATTGAATCTGGCACTTTCGAATTAAATTTGTATCATCATTCTAATCGACTCTGGTACTATTAGGGTTAACAGGGCTAAGGAGTAGTAAGAAAATTATTTTAAAAACTGCTGGGAAGGAAAAGATGAAAGAGTCATGAGCTGGTCTTGCCCTTTTTTTATATTTCAACTCCTGTCAGCTTTCCCTTTTCTGGTGCTTTCTTGCATGAGCTGTGGCTTATAAAGAGTTATACATACAGTATGCCTCATTTCCTCCTCCTCCTAGGGCTGCTTCTGTTGCCACTCATCAGTAGTAAGGAATATTTTGCATTGCATCAATGTACTATCAATGGTTCAGAACAACACATGAACGTTCTTGAAGCTTTTGACAGCCCATGGGCACAGTTCATTCTGAATTTTTCTTGGAATCAATAGGTTCGGGCCAAGGGTCACTGGTGGAGACAACATCTGCAAAGAAGCGGAAGATGGGAGAGGAAAAAGAGGAGGTGAAGACTGCACAGGGTACTTCAAAGAAGATCAAGAAGAAGATGAAACTGGATGCAGCTGGAATGGCTCTTGGTTCCATGATGATACGATCTGAAAAGGCTAAAAGAGACATCCTAGATGATGGGTGGAATCGGTTTGCATTCAATGACAAGGGCTTGCCAAACTGGTTTATTCGCAATGAGGAAAAGCATAATCGAAAACCCCCCCCTGTACCCAAGGTTAGTATAAGTTTTGCTTGTACTGAAGCATTTACCTACTTTTTGGATTAAAACATAGGAACCTAATAGAACTATATTGTATCATTATCTGTACCTCCCACCTCTTGTGATTTGCTCCTCTTTCCATAATGTACAAGGATGGTGTACCTAATAACTCATTACTGATGATGATTGAATAATTTTTTCTTGCAATCTATGCCCACAGGAACTGATTCAGGAGTATCAGAACAAGCTGAAAGACATCAACGTGAGGACACTGAAGAAAGTTGTAGAGGCCAGGGAAAGAAAGAAAAAAAGGGCAAAATCTAAATTAGAGAGGGCTCGAAAAAAATCTGAAACCATCACTGACAACATGGACATGTCAATGAAGGAAAAAGCACAAGCAATTCGCCAGTGAGTTCCTCTTACTATGATTTATAATTTAACCAAGATTGGATATATTACAGCTCTAGCAAGATGTTAACCCTTTCCGGTCTTTTTACTTTTGTCACTATGTCCAACCAGGTTGGACATGAGACCGGAACGCAGAAACATCCATGTCCAACTAGGTTGGACAAAGGACCGGAAAGGGTTAATTATCAGCAGGCGTTTTTTCTTCATCATTATACCTTTCCCTGTTTGTAACTTCATGGGAGAGCCAGCCAGCCCAGGTGATGTTCAGTGGGAAAAGTGAAAAAGCACAATGATAAAAACAACTAGAAATCATAAGGGAAATCAAAATGAATACTTAATGAGTGAGTTTCTCCACCAAGCAAAATTGACAGCTGGAGCTTGCAGTCTTTGGTGATGTGTGTTTGAGAAGCAAATTTTTTTATTGTCATCAGAATGGACTTACTTCTTGCTTTTTTCTTCATTATAAAGGTGAGATAAAGTTTTGTATTTCAGCTTGTGCCCTATCAGGTCCTATATGGAAATGGTCCTGATAATGGATTGTCTGGACAATGCAATTGAAAATAATAGGAGACGTTTTACTTGACTTGACCTTAACTAAAAAGTATCTCATGCCATAATATAATTGTAGTCTTTGCATGACCTGCTGCAGGGCCATAAAGATTCACCATGTTGCTTCATAGAGTTTAGGAGATGCATCTCATTAGTGAAACATTATGTACTCACCTTCTTTCTAGTTACAGATATAATAAAGATGATGAGAGATATAATTTAGACATGTATCTCAAAAAGATGCTCACAGATTATTTATAGTGGTACTATTTTATTGTCAATAATTTTATCCAATCTTTTGTATGCACTTAGGGTATGTACCATACCCAAAATATTATGCTGTATACTTGAAATCTTTCTGGGAGTATATGAAGGTGACATTAGAACTGGAATGATCCCTGTAGGCACTGTCTCTTTGGTTGAGCTTCACTGATGAGTTTAGGCTAGCTCCATGATTGCATTGTCTCCATTGTGCTGTGCTCTACATTCATCCATGCTTCACAGAAGTTTTGAATCTCAATGAGAATCATGGTCTTTTATGTAGGATTTATAAGCGGGCAATGAAGCAGAAGAAGAAGGATGTGACTTATGTGGTGTCCAAAAAGCATCAGTTATCGAAGAGAGGAAACAAGCCATCGCATGTGAAAGGCCCATATCGGATTGTAGACAGACGGATGAAGAAAGACCAACGAGGGAAAAAGAAGACAGAAAAGGCTCAATGGAAGAAGGTGGCACAAAGGAGGAGGAAGAATGTCCATTCATGATAAAACCTGAAATTTGTGATAAAGAAATATTACTTCTTCCATTCCATCCATTTTCTTCATTGTGGTGCCTTAGACTGTCTTTTACCTGAATCATGACCTTATTCTGAGAAATTCATGGAATTCACAACTTGGGAATTCCATTTTTCACCTTTTACTGATCTTTACACTGCAAACCATATAGGGTGGCATGCACCGGATCTGTTAAAGCTAAACTAATCTGATCTCACAATGGTCCTTCATGGAAATGAATCAGTTTAAAGTTAAGTAAATCTGATGCATGTCACTCATGTGCACATTCCAGTATGATCTAACAGGATATAGTAACTAGAATTATGGAAAAGTTTTGATCTGATCCAGTTTGTCTGACTACAGTCCCATTTTCTGATGAATTCAGATTCATTCATCTTCATTAGTGCAAACAAATTATCTTGTTACCTTAAATTAGCCTGTCAAGTGAAAAACAACAGACCATTTTGTGTTTGTTAAATAACAAACTGAAGGTTAGGTTTCCTCTAAAGCAGGGGTGTCCAGACTTTGAAATCAACAGTTCCTTCCTACCTGGGAGCCTTTTGTCTAACCCAGTGGTTCCCAATCTTTTTTTTATTTGCAGCACATAAGGACTCTTGAACTTTCCACGGCACACCCAGCCATTTACTCACTTTCAATGGGAAACTTGTGCTTGTTTCACTGAACACAGCAGTTTGATACGAGGCATGATAGAGAAACTCTCAGCTCATTTTCAACTGAAAGATGGCATTCCCTCTTGTTTTTAAGTTTTTCGTTTTTTTTGTCAACTCAAATCTCATGGCACACCGTTTTGGATACACTGGTCTAACCCTTCACCTAAAATTAAAAAATACAGTAATACAGAGGCAACCAACCAATCCTTCATGGAGCCTGTGAAGTTGGGTGCCAACCATGCATCTTTAAAAATGCTCCTGCTAACCGCCCTTCCTAGGGAGTGACAAGAACTTCTCCAGGTGAGTTAACCTTGATCTTAGGGCATAGGTCTTCCCATTCACCCTTCATCATTGACTGCATATGAACCGAAAGCATGGTGATCTGACCCTCCAGCTTGAAACTATTTTTCCAATCCCAGTTGCAACAAAGGTCTGCACTAAGAGCCAAACTAACTAGTGTAACATAAGTGTTGGTTCACATTCAGCCAATTCTTCACCATTTCCATTGAAGAAACTCATTCCCAATGATTCTTCCCCTTCTCAACTCTTAAATAAAACTTCAATGAGAAATAAAAATTGATAAAGCTCTTTATCTCTCTCACAAAAGCACATCCACTCAACAAATATTCTCATTCACTCAAGTAAACATTAGAGTCCACACAACCGAGATCAAGGATTTTCTGCAATTTGCAGAACAGTCTTTTTTTTACTTCTTTGGTGAAGCCTTGGCTTTGGCAGCCTTGGGCTTGGCGGCCTTAGGCTTAGCTGCTTTGGGTTTCGCGGCTCCAGCCTTCTTGGGGGACTTCGGCTTCTTGGGCGACTTCTTTGGCTTCGATGCCTTGGGCTTGGTGGATTTCTGAGCTTTGGGTTTTGCAACCTTGGCCTTCTTCGGTGAGGCTGGTTTCTTGGCCTTAGGCTTCTTCACTGCCTTCTTGGGCTTCTCTGCTTTCTCGGACAGCTTGAAGGACCCAGTCGCACCGACTCCACCCTTGGCGTGCTTGATCTTTCCAGATCCTTCTGCCCTCTTCAGGGCGATCTTCACGCGGGAGTTGACCACCTTGGAATCCGTTCCAACATTGTAGTGCTGCATGATGTACTTGAGAATGGCCATGCGGCTCGAGCCACTACGTTCCTGCAAACAAAACCGGATTATTAGACATTGTCCATACGATAGTGATTTAGTCTCCGCAAATTAACCCAAATGCCACTAGCTAAACAAACTATGAAGTCGAAGAATTAGGAATGAAAATTTCGGTCGTGGCTTTGCATGTATTGATGCCTAGGCCAACGCCCCTATCTATTCACCCCATCGATTACCTCAGGCCTGAAGGCCTAGCTCGCCTTTACTTATTAATGAAGATCCATATCAATGAGCTTACCTTCAAGGCAGCGATGGCAGCGACGATCATATCCCCATAAGGAGGATGGTTGTGGACCACGGCCTTCTTCGGCTTAGCGGCACCACCCTTGGCCTTTCCTCCCTTCTTTGCTGGGGAAGCAGCAGGAGCAACAGCAGCGTCAGCCATGGCAACTACTTGAAACTTTGAGGAGACTTGCGAGTATCTCACAACGCACACTTCCCGAGAGCTAGAGAGCGAATGCGAGCGCGCTGGAGGTCCCTCGACATATATACCCGCAGCGCGGACGTACCAGGGAGCAGGGGAGGAACGGTCGACTCCGCTCGCCTGCTGACTCCCCCTCGCGATTTTTCCTGTGCTTCCTCCTCGCCTTTTCGCCGCGATCTCTCGCGATCCGTGCACGTCACGACGGCGGTTTCTATGCCATTCAAAAGGCAAGACTCTGCCGAATACGCCGATACCAGCCTTACTTCGGTATCGCATTCCCAGGACATTCTATCGCAACTCAAAGCCGAAGACACCGGGTAGAAAATTAGCGACAATCGGAAATAAACGGCAATATCTCAGAAACCCCTCGACGAACTCGAACGAAACTGACCCACCGCGAAGCCCAATCTCCACCTGCAAGGTCCATCGAGCCATTTCTCCGATCCCCCCCCGATCCGCCCCCCAACAGCCCCGCGAACCGCGATCGTCAAGCACAAACTTGGAGCCCCGCTCCGAGCATGAGGATCCCCGAAAACCCGATTTTATTCCCGAATTTCCCGGCGAAACTCGACTCAATCCCATCAGAGTGGATGGGATTCGCCCCTGAGGATTTCCAGGAACGTGAGCGAACTCGAAAAAACGCGAAATGCATTTGAATCCCACTGCATCAATTAGACTGCAAAGGTATTGTCCCTCCCCCAAAACCATCAAAACCCGAAATTTTTCGCTTTCGGTCGATTTCCATTTCGGAAACGAAAGCTCGAAACCAGCAAAACTAAGAATGAGACGCATTTCATGATGTATGGACTCTCACTGAGGTCGATAAATTGCTGGGAATGCTAATGGGCCTCTGTGAACGCGACGTAAAAAGAAAATCATGGACAAATTCAGAGACAGACTCACTTAAAGACAAGTCCTTCGATGATGAATCCTTTCGAATTGCAATAAGCGTGAAGCATTGCCATTTTGGTATGCGCTTGTCTTGGGGTCATTCCCATTTGCACTGCCTTTGTTCCCCCCCCCCCACCCCCCTCTCCCCCTCTTCATTCATGGCAGCTTATTTTTGAACGAATTTCTCATGCATTTTCTTTTTTCGTCTATTTTCGATGAGAAATGGGTCACAGATTTGCATTAGTAAATAAGAATGCGGGGGACGGGGGAGGGGGGAGGGGGGAAGGGGGGGGGGAGAAGGGGGGAGGGGGGGGGGGGGAGGGAAGGGGGAGAAGGG